CAGCTGGGGCCGCCGCCGCCCAGCCCCACCCCTCCGCCCGCGCTACCTCTTGAACATCCAGGACATGGCGCTGAGTGGGGGGCGAGGGAAGCTCCTGGACGCCCCCGGATGGTGCTCGAGTCGCCTCGAGACGCCGGCTGCCAGCCCCCGCGGCCGCGGAGCCGGAGGCAGCTTCCGAACGCCCGAGGGGGAGTGCACGAGCAGCGGCCCCAGCGCCGCAGGTCCGTCCGGCGTCGACACAGCCTCCTTCTGGCAGCAAGCTGAGAGGCCAGCTAGCCTTGGCGACTGACGTTGGGCCCCTCCAATAGCGGGAAAGAGCCTTCGGTGTTGAGCCAATCAAAGCGCGGGGAAGAGGGAGACTCCGCCCCACGCCGCGATCCTCTGACGGTGGGGGCGCCGAGCTGCAGGGGTGGTTCCATCCGGGTCCTTCCCTGCCCCCAATGCGGGCGGCCGGGCGGGAAAACCACGCGGTCCCAAGGGCCGGGAAGCGGTGCCCGCGATTCCGTTTTCTGTTTGATTCCTTGCTTCAAGCAGACAAGGTTGATTCTTTGCTTCCCGCCGCCCTGCCAAACCTTCTTCCCACTCCTTCTCGTTTGATGTCACAAGTTATGAGATGTTTCTTTGGATAGGCACCAAGGTTTACAGACGCAGCTGCTCGCTTTCCTTAATTTCCAGTGATGGGCCTTGGGTTATTGTCCTAAAAATTATGTTGAATTTTAAACCTCTCCTCTAGCTATGAGTCAGCATCCACTCGAAGGCAATGAGTTTGGTCTGGTTTGGGGAGCATATCTATGAGCTAGATGCATTTCAGAAGATCTTGGATAGAACTTAGACTAGCCTCCATCATGGCAGATGGGGAACTGGTTTTGCCACCACGACCATGCACCTGCTCATGCAGCCATCTCAGTGCACCAGTGTTTGGCAAAAAACAGCATTCCTCTCTTGCCCCACGCACCTTACTCACCTGACCTCACTCTGTGCGACTTCTTTCTGTTCCCATCAATGAAAAGGGACATGAAAGGACAGCATAAAAGGTGAAAAAGAAGGAGGGAAGTGCAGTCAGGCTTCCAAACAGATGGGTTTGATGAATGTGTCCAAGAATGGAATCGCAGATTTGACTAATGTATTAAGTGTAATGGAGAGTACTTTGAAGGTAATGTGGTTGTTTTATTTTTTTAATTAATTAAATACATAGCTTTGAAAGTAAGAAGTCTTCCAAGAAGTATCTTATCTCCCTGTTTGTACACCTCCAAGACAGATCTGTTCATCTAGAAGTCCAGGTATTTTTTATATTTTTTGCCAACACCCCAATTTAAATGTGTCAGTTCTTCAACATTCCTGTTGTCCAACTTGTGCATGCTTAGGAGGCTATTGAAATGACCATGGCTGGGTCAGGCAGACCTTGGTCACCAGAGTGCCATCTTTGCTTTATAACATATTAAAAGGTCTTTTGTAGCAGATTTGCCCAATTCCCTTGATTCCGTGACTGTTAGTTCTGTGGGCATTAATAACCTTGCTAGAGATTTGTTGGACATGCTTGGGGGAAGTTTCCCTGAGACTTGTCGCTGTCCTAATGAAGGTGCCTGTTTTCCTTTAGGAACCAGGAAGAGGATGTGCCAGATTCTAAACCAGGGGTGCTCACACTTTTTCAGGATGTGAGCTACTTATAAAATGCTCAAGTCAAAATGATCTACCAACTACAAAAATGCAAAACATTTATATATTTATTTATTACATTTATTCATAACGTATTACATTTATTCATAATCATAAGAATTGAGAATTCTTTATATGTACAATGTACGTTTATGCACCTTGCATAACTGCATGAGTCCATATTGTACAACACAATTAACTATGTACATTTTTGTCATTACCTAAGTTTACTCTGATGACTTGCACTGAATGGAATGAGCCAGAGAC